AGCGTAATAAAATAGCTGGATTCTCATACTTATTTCAGTATTCAAGCTGTTATGATATGTTGTTTTGGTTGAAATATATGAAAAAAATCCAATCTCACACAGATAATAGAGTTGGAAAGTGGAAGATTATTTTAATAATCTTTTCAGATAATTGTGGAAACTTTTCTTTGATACTATATTCAAACTTGACTAATGATAGTTTCTTAAAGGTTAGTTTCAATGTAGAATCTGAAAACTTTCAATGAATGTTTTGTACTTGGTTACATTAAAATCTCTTGGTCTGTGTTGAGGGAGTAATGTAAATGGGTTTTTTACCCACGTCTAATTTTGTAACATCACGCATTTGGAAATATTGGTTCTGGGTTATGAACATCTTCTAAATGTTGATAGTTTCATTATATAAGGCCAAAGATAATATGCACTAATATCACTATTAACCTCTTCAGAAGTCCAAGGATTGGGAAGCTGTCTAGCTCAAGGCGAAGGATGCAAATTTTCCAAAAGTCTAATTTTCAGTTGAAAGTTTAAATTCTATCATTAGCAATAAATATTATCAAATGTTTTCCTTGAGATAACAAACTCATTTTGTTGATTTTTAAAAAAAATGATTGCCAGCTATTGAGTCTGGATAATCATAGTTTGTCAATCTTCATTCAACTAAAAATGGTGTTTCATGAAAAAAGTGGCTAGTTTAGCTAGCAGCTCAAAAATACAAACACTTTTCCCCTAGAAAACTTTAATTTTCTTGTAGTATCTTGTAGTAAAAAAAAAGAGAGAGAGAAAGAACTCATATGCATATGCAGTATGCAGCAGAAGTGCTATATGCATACTTTTTCACTTCACCCTGAAAATGCAAAAGACATGTATTTAGGACTGCGATAATATTAATAAAATAATAATTTTTAATAATGAATAATTTCTACTGTTTCATCAAGGGTGTTCTTAAGTGAAACTGGTTTAAGTGTGTGCTGGTGAAGGACACAATGATGGCAAGTCCAATTTGGTGCCATTGTCCTGATTCACATTAAGGAACTAAGAGTTTCGCCCACCTTTGCTGTTGTACATACAATGAAAACAAAGTGAAAAAGGCAAATTACATTATAGCATTATTTTAAACAAAGTTTTGACACTGCTGACCCTCCAGAAAATGTCTCAAGCAGCCCCAAGGATCTTCATTCCACATTTTGAGGACTGCTGCATTAGCTCCACAACAAGACAAAAAGGGAATCTGCAGGCATTGGTGTGGCATAGGCACTTCCTGGGAATTCTATTGAAACCCTTATCTTTATCTTACCCTCACTGACCACTCTCAGGAAAAAGTGAACACTCTCATCTTGAAGAGGTCTAAGGCTAGTCAGCTTTATGCAATGATATTGAGCTTGTTGGAGAAGGGGAATGCTAATTTAATTGCAGTTTAATGAAGAGCTTAGTGGGTGGAGAAAGAAGAATGACTGAAAATTTGCATTTTCTTAACTTCCTGGCTTGATGCATCCCAGGTTACTATACTAATTCTAGTTAGAAACACTCCAGTTATTCTGCCCAGGCTTGGGGAAGCATGACTGATGCCCTCAGTATCCCAGATGAGGTTGGGATGGGGTCTGCTTTGTGGTTGGGACTAGAAATCAGGACCCCCTCACATTCTTCTCTGATAATCCCTGAGTGGACTAATAGGTCACTCAGATTCGGTTGAAATCTACAGATTGTACAAGTACTTACTAGTACTGAGGAAGGTATTAAATGCTGGAGCAGCCGTAGAGGTTGGGGCAGAGGGCACGCACCTGTGGATAATTTGACAGGGTGTTCCCTCCTTGGTTCTTTCTATCCTGGTCTCTTTTTTTAAGCTTTACTTTTAAAGTAATTTTGTAATTTAACTCTCACACAGGAACATTTGAAAAAAATCCAAGCAATCCTGAAAACCATAAAAATAATATCAAAGGTACCGTGTATTTGCGTTAAATATTGTGCTATAATCTCCACATCATAACATACTGTATCTCATTTAACCTCTCAACAATATTTGAGGTACATACTCTTGCAAAGAAGAAAGTAAAAATCACTTTAAGTCCCATCACCCAGAGGTAAAAATTATTAGCATTTTGCTAAATTCTAAAACTCTCTATTAATCCAAAGAGAGAGAGAGGTCTTTAATTTAATATAAATAGGATCATATGCTACAAATTATTTTGTATCCTGATTTCCTTTTTTCAAAGACATGAGGCAAACACCTTCCCCAAGGGGATGGATATTCTCATTATCTTTAATAATTGTAGGATAAGAATATTTCATTGTATAGATATACCAAATTACTTTATCTGTAAGTGGATATCTAAGTAGTGTAGCTAGTTTCCTGATTTTGACGACATGAACACTGCTGCATGAATGTCTTTGTGCTTGCTTCATTCTGAAGCATTGATCTCCTAAGGGTCAGTTCCTATAAGTAGGATTGTTTACATTTTTTATCCAAAATGCTAAGCTACTTTCAGAAGATTTTAATTAACTTCTTCTCTTCTAACAGCATCCAAGATTGCTAAAGGCAGACATAAAAGCACATGTGAATGTGTTCTGACAGGAATACCTGTGTGGACATGTGAGCTGTCCACATGCCTGAGGACTTGCTTATTCATTTAACAAATATATCGGAGCATCTGCCATGAAGCAGACATTCAGCTAGTGCTGCAACTGTGAGAAACACAAGATCCTGGCTCTTATGAAGTCAAACATACACTAAAAAAAAAAAAAAAAAAAAAAAAAAAAAAAATCAATCAATCAATCAAACAAACAAACAAACCAACCTTCCATAAGTACATGAAGACAATTTATACCAAGATATGACCACACATAACTAGGCTCTGCCCCAGTCTGAGTATGGTAGTCAGGGTGGTAGAGGAATCAGGGAAGCCTTTCTTGAAAAGGAGAAGGGTAAGGAGGCATTAACTAGACAAAGAGTAGGAGGAAGCATGTTCGAGACTTTTTTCCACCAAGAGAGAATTTTTTGCTCTTGTTCTGCTATCAGTGGGAACCATCTTGCTGGGAGAATCTACTCCCATTCCCCATACATGAACATTCCTGCCTTTCTGCCTCAATGTACTGGTCTCCCACCTCTTTTTCCTCCTGGGGCAGGAGCATGACTTGAAGAATGCAAAGGCTGGAGATGCAGGAGCCCAAAGAGTGAGGGTGAAAGTGGGGCCAGAGAGTGCTGAAGGGTGGCAGAACATTGTATCTGGTCATGTACGTCTGAGCATGTACCTGCATTTGTGCACATGTCTGAATGTCTAAGAGCTATAAGTAGGTGTATTAGTACACTGGTCTCAAAGTGTGGGCCCCTGACCAGAGCATCAACACACCTTGGGGGTGAGTCCAACAATCTCTTTTAACAACCCTGCTGCGGTCACAGTGTGTCTGAATGCACCTGTGTGCTCCAGGCTTTGGCATATTTGACTTGCAGGTGGAGATTTGCATCTAGGCATCCTCGAGGCAGGAAGCTTACTCCATCTTTCTTGACTTTGTCCTCTCAGAGCACTGCCAAGTCTAGGGCAGTCACTGTGGGGCACTTAACAGATATTAGATGATGACCATAATTGTGCTAGCCAGATCTCTCTCTAGCCGAGTCCCTATTTCTTTTTTTTTTAACTTCTTTATTAAGTTGGTTGCATAAAAGATATATTCTCATACTGACAATCCTTGTCATGAATAAAATCAACAAAAATAAGGCAATAGCAAGATGTGCTTCACAAATAAACAATCAAGTGGTCAGAATAGGAAATCTGGCCCTGTACAACAAAAAGATTAAGAAGCAGAATATGAATAAGCCCTGAATTCAGAATATACCTAAAGACACAAAAAGCACAAACCATGAAGATGAACAGGCTATACAGAATAGGAGCAACCTAAGTGGCCAATAAACACAAAGAAAGATCACAAACCTCAAGAGCAATCAGATTAAAAAACATCAAAGGTTCCTTAGGATGCACAATTCCTTAATTACCCATTTGTGAAATAAGAATGAACATTAAGAAACATGAAATCTGAGTTGCATTTATTATCACAATATCAATGCTAAATTCAAAATAGCAACTTCATCGAAACTAATGTTAAATATTCCAAAAGTAAAACGCAATCTTAGTTTTTTAAACTTATAAGGAGGGTCTAAAAAAAAGAAAGATGAAGTATTTTATTCTACTTTCAAGGAGAACAGGTCTCAACCTGCACTGTAGTGGTATGAGCAACAAAGGGACAGGAAACAAATACCACAGAGTAATGCCCATACATATCAAAATGTCTCGTTGAACCATGTTATTTCTACTTATATAGAAAGTCTATTATATTAAACACTCAGCATAATGGTACCTTACATCTCGTGTGACAGAATTACTAAATTAACTATGTATCCATTAGAAATTTTCAACCCCCACTCCCAAAACATTTTAGCACACCTATTAAGTACTGAAGGTCATTTAGAAAAACAGAAATAAAACACATACCCAGTCTTTGCAATTAAAAGTTTTCATAATATATAAACAATGTTCAGATATAAATTCTGAAATTCTAAACTAAATATGTTTATTTCCAAATATGATTTATATAACCAAGGCTTTCTTAACCAGATAGGTCATAGCTATATGATCTGTACAAACTGACAGTAGTGTATATTCCAAGTAGAGATTTTCCTCCTAATATGACAATATAACTCTTTTCTGAGTGAACATATATTTTAGAGCTTAAGGTGTAAACAACCTAGTGAAGAAATTAATGTTCATTTAAAAAGGTATCACCCCATAATAGGCCCCTGAATTTTCAAATTTACATGTGAGAATACATTTACATTGTAAATTTCTAGGAAAGGCACAGGCTTTATGTAAAAAAAGCAGCAAAATTTTAAACCCACCAATTTATTGAAAAAGCCATTACTTTTTTTTAGAAACAAATAATGTGTCTCAAGATGTTGGCAACAGGACATAGTACAGATGTACATTTCAAACAGTGTACTACTTCTCCCTTTAATTACATTCCGGAAGGAGGTGAAATACCTCCTTGGTTATGGGAAGCAGAAGTATTTGATGGACCATGTAAGCTGGTCTCCTTGTACACAAACCAGGCATTTCCTCCCCAAAGTATCATATTCAGAAAGCCGAAGATCACAGATACATTTAGGGATCCCATACTAGTCACAGAGCCAAAGTAACATGTCACATTTTTACAGGGTCCAAGTTCCTGGACAATATTGTGACCAGTAGCTATTTTAATATCTGTAAGAGCTTTAGCCCAGGCTGAAGTGCTCACTAGCCACAAGAAAGTGGCAATAAGAGTAACAATGAAGTCAATCATGGGAAGTTTTCGATTATCCCGATACAGGTTTATGCAACCAACATAGAGCAGAAGAGCAGCAATGCAGTATAGGAAAACAAACACTGCGAACATAACATAGAACTGTGCAGAAGAAGAGTAATCTCCAAGAAGGACATACTGTTTCCAATCTATATCACACACATTTACACTTGGAGGTGCCTTAAATGATGCTTGATTCAACCTGAATGGATAAGTGAAAGTCGCTGTAACTGTTTTATTCTCAGGATCTGTAGGAGAACATTTCACTAGAATGTCTGTTTTGCCCTTATAACCTCCACAGGTGGCAAAAGCAAAGATAGCAGCAAACCACTCGAGGACCTTGATGAAGCCAAGCGGCTCCTTGAGCGGGTTGAGGTTGAGCTGGAAGGAGGACATCCTCTGAAGGAAGGAGGGAGAGACAATCAGGACTGCGGGGCGGAGGAGGAGGGGGACAGAGGAGTCGGAGCGGTTCGGTGGCGAGGAAGCCGAGTCCCTATTTCTTACTCATCCCTGGGTAGAAGAGCCACAAATCACCCTTCTTTTATCACAGACAGAAATGTAATGTCACCAGTACACAAAGCAGGAGGTTAACAATGGGAGAGTAAGAGAAATGGCCTATTCGAAATGGAAAAACACCTCTTTGCACTTTCCCTAAACAGGTTGCTGAGACAAAGAAACAGTTTCAAGCCTGTCCTGGCTAATGGTGTTAAGTGTACAGAGAGAGATGAAGAGAACAGGAGTGTGTGCTAGGGCCACAGCCCCACACAGGGCGTGGGTGAGGGTGGCTGGTGGCTGAGGGTGGCGTGTGTCATGCACAGTGGGAGGCCCCTGGAGCAGGATCTCCCCATGGGAAGAATGGGCCAATATGCAGAACACCTGCAAGCTGTGGGCTGAGGTTGCATCTTCACCAAACAAAACCCCAAACCAGTACCTGCTTTGCACCCAGATTCGAGTCCTGGTTCTGCCACTTACCAATTTAGAAACTTTGGGAAAGTTGTTTCAATTCCGTCAGTCTCAATTGCCTTGTCTCTGAAATGGGGATAATAATAGGATCTGTAGCATAGGGCTGTGGTGCTGGTTGGAAGAGGTGACTTATGTGAACTCATTAGCACTGTGCCAGGCAGATGGTAAATGCTCAGTTTCTCTTGTGTTTGCAGTACTTTCCTAAAGCCTCTCCTCACTAGAGAATTGCACCAATTTCTTTTGCTAATTGCACCAATTTCTGTTGCTCTATCAGCTGAGCCTGCTCAATGAGTTCAATTGGATTGATCAGGTCCCCCAGACATGGGTAAGGGTCATTGGCACTCTCACCCCAATGGAAGCACTCCCTACCCTGGCAATTTGCCGCTGCGTACAGGTCAGAAGCAGTGGGTGTCTTCCTCTGGCCCCATGGGCGCTGCTGTCTTGCGTCTTTGTATCACTATGACTTTTGTCACAGGGGTCTGCTACAGGGTGAGGTTCACCATAAAAACAATCACAAGAAAATGCAAATAAGTAATACCTAGTAGCGTGCAAGGTTATTGTGTGGGAAGGTGTGCTACACGCCTAGTTCTGTGCCTGGCACACGAAAGGTACTTAATAGATGGCAGTTAAAGATGAAGTTTTACCTTGGGGCTGGTCAGAAGTGAGTTTAATTAGTACAGAAAATTTAAGGAGTGGGTATTTATTGAGCAATTGCCATTGTCAGGCACTGTGGCAGGTGTTTTCCACATGTTATCTCAATCCTCACAACAACCCCGTGGAACAAAGTATCATTAAAATCATCTTCACAAATGAGGAAACTGACACTCAGAGAAGTTAAGTGACTTGTTCAAGACCAACAGTACTGGATTCTAATTAGTGATTACCCATGTTTATTCTCCCCCTCCCCCTTATTGCCTTCCCAAAGAAACTGGTTTTCGGCATGGAAACCACAGACAGCATTATCACCTCTCCACTGAGCAAGGATTATTTGCCAAGGAAATAAATTTGCCAACTTTCCTCATTTTGCCCACTCTGATCACAGGGAGTTCTTCCTTCTACCTGGTCTTGACCTCTCTGACTAGATGCGAAACCCCTTCTGTCTTGTTTAGTCCTCAGCAAAGGGTAGCTGGTAACCTTTAAAGTATGTGTCCCATGTACAGTGTTCCTCAGGAAATAATGGGAAACTAAATATAAACTCAGTTGGGTGGGGTCTCTGAACTAATAATCAGTAGGCTGGACTTTGAGAGGAGACAGGGGCAGAGAGTGGAATCCTTGCGCCCTGTTCAGAAGCCCTTACTGATTTAGTTCCTGGGGCCAGCTCACTCCCAGGCCCCTGTCAGCTTTCTAAGCAGCACAGCAGGGCCAAGGGTGGGGCCTTGGGAAGTCTATGCCACAGGCCCTCTCATTTGAGCACCCAGCCTTCCTCCCTCCCCTCTGCTGGTGGAAGAATCTGATAAGAAAAATGGACCCTAAATGGAAACTTCTAATTCTTTGCTCCTTTCCAGCAAGGCTTTCTAAAACTGCCAGCTAGATCAGCCTATACCTTCAGCACATTGCATTCCGACCTCTGCACCTCCACCCCTAGCCCCCGTCCTCCTCCTTCAAAGGCCAACTTGTCCAGGAAGATGCTCTTGATTAGTCCCACCTCTTGTTCTGCTCCTTCTCTTTCCTTGGATGCTTTGGCTATTTTCACCTTAATTGGGACATTAATATTCAATACTCACAAGTACACAGCTTAGTTAATATTTCAAAATATTTTTCTGCATTTAGGAAATTGTGTGTTTTTTCACTCCTCAGTTAGGAGACAAATTCCAAGAGATGAATGGGGAAAGTGAAAGAGGGCTAGAGCATTTCTCAGGAGACATGACTCTGATTCTGACAGGGCCACTAATGAGCTACGTGACTTTGAGCCAGTCAGTTTTCCTCTCTGGGCCTCTGGCTCCCACTTTGCAAAATGTTCTCAAGATTTTGTTCAGCTCAAATACTCCATGGCTCTGTTTCCTTTGACTCTCCTCACAGTGTCTGTGTCGCATAGAACTCTCTCATCTTCTGTTTCTTCTGAGACTCTGTCTTTCTGAGGCTGTCTCATCTCTTTGACAGTGTGTGTCCCTGCAGCTCAGACTTGCTGTATGGTCCAAGACCTCAGACCCACTGAGTCTGAGGGTCACAAATGAAGCAGCCAGTGGAAGTAGTCAGCAGGAGACTGAACACTATTTCTCAGTTGCAGGGAAGGCCTGTTAAAGCGCTGATGCCCAGGTTCCATCTCTGGACAATCTGATTCATGGGTTTGGGGCAGGGCTCAATCTCCTCACTTTAGTCATCGATTGCTGCAAAACAAGATACTTCCACATTTTATGTTTAAAACACCACCATTTATTTACTCATGATCTGAACAGCAGGACTTTAGGCAGGGCCTCGCTGAGTCGCTTGTGCTCAGGGTCACCCAAGGGACTACCTTCAGCTGGGAGCCCAGCTGGGACGGAAACACCCAAGGTGGCTTCAGGATTCCCTCCCTGTAGTGTCTCTCCAGCAGAGTCGTCTGAGTTACAAAGCAGCTGGCTTCTAACAGGTGGCATTGCGAACACCTAAGGCAAAAGTTGCAGATGTCTTAAGGCCCAGTCTAGAAAGTTATTCAATGATAGTTCTGCCTGCCTTTTTCTATTACTCAAAATAAGTCACAGAGCCAGCTCATACTAAAGGGAGGGCAAGTAAACTCTGCTTCTCTGTGGGGAGAGTAGCAAAGTTTCACTGTAGGAGAGCCCATGAGATGGGAGATATTACTGAGGCCATCGTTGTAAATACAATCTATCACAATTTAAAAATAGACTTTAGATGAGTGTGCTGTGCCCGAGATCTGTGAACTGTGTCTCAAGGAGCCTGCTTCCCATTTCTCCCTTTCTCCTTCCTGTCAGATACGTCACACATCAGACTGTCTGGGGGAACTGATATGGGGGCTAATTAACATGTATTGGTTTTCTCTGTCAATAGCATTCCTATCTTTCGCATCCAGCAAATACCAATTCTATTGGCAAGTTGGGAAGATGAAAGAAGAGGATCAGAAACATAAACAAGACACTCTTCTTGTCTTTAAGTTACTCACCATCTGATAGGGGTGTCCAACCTGCAGCCCTTGGGCCACATGCAGCCCAGAATGGCTGTGAATGCAGCCCAACACAAAATCATAAATTTACTTAAAACATTGAGATTTCTTTGCATGTGAGTACGTGTCACAATGTATTCAATGTGTGGCCCAAGACAATTCTTCCAGTGTGGCCCAGAGAGGTCAAAAGGTTGGACCCCCCTTGATAGTATAAACAATTTAATTGATTCCCCGGGCTAAATCAATGCCTTCCATCTTCCAATTCTGAAGCAGAAATTTGTGAATTGAATTTAGGAAGACAATTGTGGATTCTCTTTTTTAACAATGTGCCAGGAAGTAGTTGTGTTCCAAGGACTAAATAAATGTTTACTCTTAGAGTGAATGGCCAGAATGGTGAGTGCTTTACACCCATCAACTCCCACCAGACACATCTAAGTTTTGATACAAACCCTGAAATTTGAAAAATCAATAGAGATAATGCTTTAAATGGTGGACATCAAATGCCTCTGGATTGAGAGGCAATTACATGAACAGCATCATGAAAGAGATGACTAAATCACAGGAGGTCTGAGAGGGTTGGGGAAGTCAAAGGACCTAAGAGTCCCTGATAAACAGACAAGAAAGGCAGGGCCTCTATGGCCACAGTGATCTGTAGACCTGCCCAGCACCCTTCTTGGATGCCCACTGTCATCAGAGTTGAGCCTCCTTCTCAAGACGAGCTTGGTACAGACCCAGGATGGCAGGTCTCTGGCTGCTGCTGTGCCGTCCTTGCGAGAAATGAGGGTTTGTCACCAGGCATTGAATTTTCCCTGTAGGGAAGTTGCTCTCCTCCCACGGCAGTTAGTCTTCAGGAGTCACATGACTTCCTTATAAAGAAGTTCGACAATCTGCCAGCCCCAAATCATTTTTACTGTTTTCTTAAAATCCAGCTCAGGCTTTAAAGTGGGGGTGTTGGGTATGCAAAAGGGAATAAATGAATTCAAATCAGTCTTACTTCCCTGTACACATGATTTGGTTAGTGGGTTATTATCTATCTGCAAAGCCAGTCTGTAGACTGAATGGGGTTGCCCACTGGGTCTCTCCGATTCTTTGTGGCTCAAAAACTCAGCTACAGCCTCTGATCTGAGCTTGATCCAGTGGGTTAGGAAAAACTATATGATGATAAACAGGTTCCTTTTTCCATGAATGCTGGCTCCAGGCACTCAGGGAGAGGCAGGGTGTTCAGATGTCTGCTCATGCTAACAGGCTGCCAGCTTCTGCACCAGGAAAGCAGAAACATGAAGCTATTCTGGTCTTGTCTAGGGAGCCTTTATGTATTGAATTTCCAATGTCATTATCTCTAAAGGGCAACATTGCTTGGTTTTCTCCCATTAGCATCCATTGGTAAAAGACAAATGGGTACAC